GCTGGGACTGGAGGTGCTGTGTCTGGGGGTGCTGCTGCTAGAGACACTGAGACTGGAGACCCAAGGACTGGGGGTGCCGGTTCTGGGGGTGCTGCTGCTGGAGACACTGAGGCTGGAGACCCTGGGACTGGAGGTGCCGGTTCTGGGGGTGCTGCTGCTGGTGGAGCTGGTCCTGGAGGTGCTGGCGCTGGAGGTTCTGGAGCTGCTGGGGGTGCTGGAGGTGCTGGAGGTACTGGAGCTGCTGGTGCTGGTGGCACTGCACCGCCGCGATTGTTCTTCGCTCCGCCGTCTCCGTCGTCTCAGCCACCGCCTGACTCTGTGCTTCGCCAGGTTCTTAGCCTCCCGTCTTCTACTGGTCTTCCGTTACAGCCCGGCTCACCACTGCCTGCTCCTTCTCCTTACACTGAGCAGACAGGAGGTCTTGCTGAGCGTCGTGAGCCTGCGTCGCGTCCTATCTCGCCTGTTCGTTCTGGTCGTACCGGTCGTCGTGTTCCTCGTCCGCATCAGCCGGCTGTCCCTGGTGCGCACCTCGTAGCCCTGCGTCCTTCCTCTGCTCCGCAGCGTGTTCCTCTGCCGTCCCCCCCTGCGTCCTCTCTGCCTGACCTTGCGGACCCTGAGTCTGACCAGTTTCGTGCTGCCCACCCTACTGTCACGCGTCTGTTAGCCACTGTTGTCACTGACCCGTCGTTTGAGTCTGCTGCTGCGTCTGCCTTGGTCGCTGAGCTTGTTGAATTTGCTGCTGCCTGTCGTCTAGACTACGCTGCTAGTCTTGTTGCTGAGTCTGAGTCTGTCTGCCCTCCGTCCGTCGGGGGTGAGTGTGCTCTTGGCACGGACGTCCTTCAGGACAGACAGGAGGACCTTGAGTGTCTTGCGGCCGCTGCGCCTCATCTCGTGGCCATGCTGCTTGCCCCTGAGGGAGACCCGGATGCTCTAGACATCCCTACCCCGCGCTCTTACGCTGAGGCGATCGCGGGTCCCTACTCCTCTCAGTGGCAGACGGCCATGGACGCAGAGATGGCATCCTGGAAGTCCACAGGCACCTACGTCGATGAGGTTCCCCCTCTTGGGGCGAACATCGTCGATGGCATGTGGATTTTCAGGGTGAAGCGGCCGCCTGGTTCTCCGCCTGCCTTCAAGGCTCGTTACGTTGCTTGAGGCTTCAGTCAGCGAGAAGGAGTCGACTTCTTCCAGGCCCCAAAGATGACCACTCTTCGGGTACTGCTGCACGTTGCCGCTCAGCGTGACTACGAGCTTCACTCGCTGGACTTCAGCACAGCCTTCTTACAGGGCAACCTGCACGAGGAGATCTGGCTGCGCCGCCCACCTGACTTCACTGGGTCGTTCCCTCCTGGTACCCAGTGGAGCCTCCGCCGGCCAGTCTACGGTCTCCGCCAGGCGCCTCGTGAGTGGCACGACACACTGAGGACGACACTTGCGGCTCTTGGGTTTGCGCCTTCGACAGCTGACCCGTCGCTGTTTCTGCGCACTGACACTTCACTGCCGCCGTTCTACATCCTCGTGTACGTCGACGACTTGGTCTTTGCCACTGCTGACACTGAGGCTCTCGCTCTGGTGAAGTCGGAGCTGCAGAAGAGACACACGTGCACTGACCTGGGTGAGCTGCGCAGTTACCTTGGCTTGCAGATCACCCGGGACCGAGCACGCCGCACCATCACACTGACTTAGTCACACATGGTGCAGCAGGTCCTTCAGCGCTTCGGCTTCACCTGGTCCTCGCCACAGTCCACTCCTCTGGCTACAGGTCACTCGCTCTCAGCTCCACCTTCGGACGAGTCCGTAGAGCCGAGTGGTCCTTACCCAGAGCTAGTGGGCTGCCTCATGTACCTGATGACCTGCACTCGTCCTGACCTTGCGTACCCTCTTGGCCTTCTGGCACGCTACGTGGCTCCTGGTCGACACCGAAAGGTGCACTGGGATGCTACCAAGAGGGTACTGCGCTACTTGTGCAGTACATCGGGCATGGGGCTCGTGCTTGGAGGGCGGAGTGAGGTGGTCCTCACTGGGCACTCAGACGCTTCTTGGATTGACGACCAGGCTACTCACCGGTCGTCACAGGGTCGTCACACTTTCAGCCTTGGCTCCGGTTCTGTTTCTTGGCGTTCTACTCGCTCGTCTTCTGTTCTCAGCTCCAGTTGTGAGGCTGAGATCTACGCCACTGCCATGGCTGCTCAGGAGTTACGCTGGCTCACTTACCTGCTGACCGACCTGGGAGAGCGGCCTCGTTCCCCTCCAGTTCTGTACGCCGTCAACAAGGCCGCCATTGCCTTGTGTGAGGAGCACAGACTGGAGCACAGAACGAAGCACATCGCTCTGCGTTACTTCCTGGCTCGAGAGTTGCAGCAGCGTGGTCAGCTTCGTCTTGCACACGTGGCCACTCGGGCCAACACTGCTGATATATTCACCAAGGCACTTCCGTCTGGTGACCATCAGCGCTTTTGTACTTTGTTGGGCCTTGTGCCTACGTTTCCACACTTGCTGTAGACTCTGCTTGTACTGTGATCCATATATATATACCTGCATGCCTGCTCTTGCTAGGTATTGATCACTGTACTGCTCTTGTTGCATATATATATCTCTGCATGTGAACTAGCCTTGTGGCCCTTTGCTTGTGCTCAGTGTGTGTGGTGACGTTGTAATCCACCCTGAGCTTGCTTTGCTTCTCTTGACTGGTCTTGTGACCCCTTGTTCTCCCCCACTTTGCCTATGGGGGTGTGTCAAATTATACATGCTATATTTGTGTAGGATGTAGTGGGGTAGCCAATATGGGGTACAACCCCTCTAGGGTTTGATACTTGTACCCAACTTCCTGCTAGTTCATTCATTCCTGTCTGTAGTTTCTAACACACGATGCTCACGATGTCACAATGTCACGATGAACACGATAGTCACAATGCTCAAGATGCTCACGATGTCACGATGTTACGATGCTATGCTCACGATGTCACGATTCCACGATGCTCACGATTGTCAGAATGCTCACGATGCTCAATGGTCACGATGCTCACGATAGTAGTAGATTCATTAGGAAAATTAGAAGCCGGATTGTTCAATGAACACTAATACTATAACTAGATTGTTGTAAAGGTTGTAAAGACAATATATATATATATATATATATATATATATATATATATATATATATATATATATATATATATATATATATATATCGCAATAGCGCAACGACGCTACGGCGCAACGCAGCAACGACGCACGGCGCAAACCGTAATTTAGAAACTAGATTGCTTAATGCGCGAGAGCGCGGGTGCACGAGAGCGCGAGTGCGGGAGAGTGCGACAACACGAGTGCGCGACTGCGCGAGTGCGCGACTACGCGAGTGCGGAACTATGCGAATGCGCGACTGCGCGGAGCGCGAGAGCGTGTGTGCGCTAGTGCGCGACTGCGCTAGTGCGCGAGTGCGCGAGCGCGCGACAGCGCGAGAGCGCGAGTGCGTGACTGCTCGAGTGTGTGACTGCGCGAGTGCGTAACAGTGCAAGCATGCAGGTATATGTATATAGATCACAGTACAAGCAAAGCCTACAGCAAGTGTGGAAACGTAGGTACAAGGCCTAACAAGGTACAGAAACGCTGATGATCACCAGACGGAAGTGCCTTGGTGAATATATCAGCAGTGTTGGCCTGAGTGGCCACGTGAGCAAGACGAAGCTGACCTCGCTGCTACAACTCTCGAGCCAGGAAGTAACGCAGAGCGAGGTGCTTTGTTCTGTGCTCCTGACACAAGGCAATGGCGGCCTTGTTGTCAACGTACAGAAGTGGAGGAGAACGAGGCCGCTCTCCCAAGTCAGTTAGCAGGTAGGTGAGCCAGCGTAACTCCTGTGCAGCCATGGCTGTGGCGTAGATCTCAGCCTCACAACTGGAGCCGAGAACAGAAGACGAGCGTGTAGACTGCCAAGAAACAGAGACACAGCCAAGACTGAAGGTGTAACCCTGTGACGACCGCTGCGTAGCCTGGTCGTCAACCCAAGACGCGTCAGAGTGTCCAGTGAGGACAACGTCACCTCGTCCTCCAAGCACGAGCCCCATGCCTGATGTACTGCACAAGTAGCGCAGTACCCTCTTCGCAGCTTCCCAGTGCACCTTTCGGTGCCTACCAGGAGCCACGTAGCGAGCCAGAAGGCCAAGAGGGTACGCAAGGTCAGGTCGAGTGCAGGTCATCAGGTACATGAGGTAGCCCACTAGCTCTGGGTAAGGACCACTCGACTCTACGGACTCGTCCGAAGGTGGAGCTGAGAGCGAGTGACCTATAGCCAGAGGAGTGGACTGTGGGGAGGACCAGGTGAAGCCGAAGCGCTGAAGGACCTGCTGCACCATGTGTGACTGAGTCAGTGTGATGGTGTGGCGTGCTCTGTCCCAAGGTCTGTGCACGTGTGTCTCTTCTGCAGCTACGACTTCACCAGGGTGAGAGCCTAAGTGTCAGCAGTGGCAAAGACCAAGTCGTCGACGTACACGAGGATGTAGAACGGCGGCAGCGAAGTGTTGGTGCGCAGAAACAGCGACGGGTCAGCAGTCGAAGGAGCAAACCCAAGAGCCGCAAGTGTCGAAATGAAAAGAAAAGAAGTGTTGTTTATATGTGTGTCGTGCCACTCACGAGGCGCCTGGCGGAGACCGTAGACTGGCCGCCGGAGGCTCCACTGGGTACCAGGTGGGAACGACCCAGTGAAGCCAGGTGGGCGGCGCAGCGAGATCTCCTCGTGCAGGCTGCCCTGTAAGAAGGTTGTGCTGAAGTCAAGAGAGTGAAGCTCATAGTCACGCTGAGCGGCAACGTGTAGCAGTACCCGAAGAGTGGTCATCTTCGGGGTGGGGGAGAAGGTCTGGAAGAAGTCAACTCCCTCTTGCTGACTGAAGCCTCGAGCAACGTAGCGAGCCTTGAAGACAGGCGGAGAACCCGGCGGCCGCTTCACCCTGAAAATCCACATGCCATCGACGACAACCTCATCGACGTAAGTGCCTGTGGACTTCTAGGATGCCATCTCTGCGTCCATGGCTGCCTGCCACTGAGAGGAGTACTCACCCGCGATCGCCTCAGCGTAAGAGCGCGGGGTCGGGATGTCTACAGCATCCGGGTCTCCCTCAGGGGCAAGCAGCATGGCCACGAGATGAGGCGCAGCGGCTGCAAGACACTCAAGGTCTTCGTGCCTGTCGTCAAGGACGTCCGTGCCAAGAGCACACTCACCCCCGACGGACGGAGGACAGAAAGACTCAGACTCAGCAACAAGGCTAGCAGCGTAGTCTAGACGACAGGCAGCAGCAAAGTCAACAAGCTCAGCGACTAAGGCAGACGCATCAGCAGACTCAAACGACGGGTCAGTGACAACAGTGGCTAGCAGACGCGTGACAGTAGGGTGCTCAGCACGAAACCGGTCATGCTCAGGGTCTAGAACGTCAGGCAACAAAGACGCAGGAGGAGACGGCAGAGGAACACGCTGTGGAACAGAGGAAGGACGAAGTGCCATAATGTGCGTGCCAGGGACAGGAGGAGGACGCTCACGACTAACACGACCAGTGCGACCAGTGCGACCAGTGCGAACAGGCGAGACAGGACGGGACGCAGGCTCGCGACGCTCAGTAAGACCTCCTGTCAGCCCAGTGTAAGGAGAGGGAGCAGGCAGGGGGGAGCTCGGCTGTAACGGTAGGCCAGTGGAAGACAGCAGGGTAAGAACCTGGCGAAGCACTGTGTCAAGAGGCGACAGAGACGACGGTGACGGCGGAGAGAAGAACAGTCGCTGCGCAGCAGTGCCACCAGCACCAGTAGCTCCAGTGCCTCCAGCAGCTCCAGACCCTCCAGCTCCAGCTCCTCGAGCGCCAGCACCACCAGCAGCCGCAGAACATCCAGCGCCAGCACCGCCAGCACCAGCGTCACCAGCAGTAGCACCCCCAGACGCAGCACCTCCAGCCCCAGCAGCTCTAGTACCTCCAGTACGAGCACCTCCGGGTCTAGCGGCTCCAGCACCTCCAGCAGACAATGCTCACCAGGTTCGTAGAGAACGAGGGGATGTGGAGACCTGACAGCTCATCGGACGGGACCGCTGGATACGGGAGCACAGTACTGGACCGTGCAAGCACTGGGCCCCCAGAGGGGTCAGCCAGTGAGACAGGGACAGGTGCAGGGAGTGGTGTGAGTGTGGTACTGTCGCGAAAGAAACAGCGGGAAGCACCTGAGTCAAGCGTGAAGGTGTGCAAGGCCTCAGTAGGCGCAGTACCAGAGAGAGCAGACTCACTAGCACCTAGGGCAGCAGCTGCTATTCCAAGGTCAGGGGGCACACACAGGTAACAGTCACCCTCAGTAGTACCAGTCAGAGCATACATGGCAGTAAGGATAGCGTCATAGTCTAGAGCAAATATATCTACTCCGTCTCGAAGCAGCTCTAGCCAGACGGGAGAAGCAGCGGGACTCTGTGTGACTAACTGTCCCGCAGGTCTGACCAGCCCGATCACCTGTGCAAATGACGTACGGGCAGCGAGCAGTAGTCCTACACCCCCAACTCTGAGCGTACCACTCATGCAGCTGCCGGGGCGTAAGGGTCTCGCTCGGACACCGCTGCAGCTGCATGTGACCAGCGCCAGACACTCCCCACCGAACAGCTCCACAGTGATTGCTACTACTCCCACTGCTGCCACCACCGCCGTCACCACTCCCACCGCTACTACGAAGGGAAGTCATAGCGGGTAAGCGAGGAGGCGCACGAGCAGCAGCAACAGCAGTAAGAGCAGTAGAGCGGCCCGGTGAGTCTAGGCTGCAGCACCTCTAGCACTCCTAGCAGCACCTCCACCAGCAGCAGTAGTGGTACGAGCAGGAGGGCGGATCGGGTCGGGTAGGGCGGCTCGGCTCGGCCTGGGCTGCGCGGGTAGCAGGGCGCGCGCTGTGTAGGGCAGATGGGCGCGACGCGCGTGCTGCAGCAGGGCGCGACGCGCAGGGCAGCAGGGCGCGACGCGCGGGCTGCAGCAGAGCGCGACGCGCGGGGCAGTAGCGCGCTACGCGCGGGCTGCCATAGGGCGCGACGCGCGAGCCAGCAGCGCACGACGCGCGGGCTGCCGCAGGGCGCGACGTGCGGGGCAGCAGTGCACGACGCGCGGGCTGCCGTAGGGTGCGACGCGCAGGGCAGCAGCGCGGGCGTAGGGCAGGGCGCTGGCGCAGGGCAGGGCGCTGGCGCAGGGCAGGGCGCTGGTGCAGAGCAGGGCGCTGGCGCAGGGCAGGGCGCTGGCGCAGGGCAGGGCGCTGGCGCAGGGCAGGGCGCCGGCGCAGGGCAGGGCGCTGGCGCAGAGCAGGGCGCTAGCGCAGGGAAGGGTGCTGGCGCAGGGCAGGGCGCTGGCGCAGGGCAGGGCGCTGGCACAAGGCAGGGCGCCGGCGCACGGCAGGGCGTTGGCGCAGGACAGGGCACCAGCGCAGTGCAGGGCAGGGCATGCGCGGGGCAACGCGACGCGGGGCAGCAGCAGACAGCTCAGACAGCAGACAGCAGGCAGCAGGCAGACGGCGCGCGCAGCGCAGCACGTCACAGTCACAGTCACAGTCGTGGGGTAGCGGTAGGTGGGCCCGAAAAAAAACGGTCCTACGGACCTACTGCTCTGAAACCATGTCAGAAGTCTAGGCAAGAATGATTGGACTAGGTCAAAGTTGGGTACAAATATGAAACCCTAAAGGGGCTATACCCCATATTGGCTACCCCACTACAGCCTACACATATATATTATATATATAACTTGACATGCGCTAGTGCACGAGTGCGTGAGAGCGCGCACGGCGCAACACTGCAACGGTATAACGGCGCAAGGTATCGTTTCATAGACACAATGTTTGTGCCTAGTCAAGATGTGTTTGAATATGTTTATAAGATCTCATTCAACGATTGTCACGATTTTACGATGTCACGATGCTCACGATGTCACGATGTCACGATGCTCACGATGTCACGATGTCACGATGCTCACGGTACTCACGATGCTCACGATGTCACGATGTCACGATGTAACGATGCTATGCTCACGATGTCTCGAAGTCACGATGCTCACGATAGTCACGATGCTAACGATGCTCACAATGGTCACGATGCTCACGATATTAGTAGATTCATTAGGAAAATTAGAAGCCGGATTGTTTCATAAACAGTAATACTATAACTAGATTGTTCTAAAGGTTGTAGAGACAATATAAGATAATTAAAAAAATTATCGCAATAGTGCAACGACGCTACGGCGCAACGCAGCAATGACGCACGGCGCAAACCGTAATTTAGAAACTAGATTGTTTAATGCAAGAGAGCACGAGTGCGGGAGAGCGCGACAACACGAGTGCGCGAGTGCGCGACTGCACGAGTGCACGACTACGCGAGTGCGGGACTACGCGAGTGCGCGACTACGCGAGAGCGCGACTGCGCGCAGCGCGAGAGAGCGACTTCGCGACTGCGCGAGCGCGCGATTGTGCGAGTGCGTAACAGCACGAGTGCGCGACAGCGCGAGTGCGCAAGTGCGCGACAGCGCGAGTGCAAAACTGCGCGAGTGCGTGAGTGCGCAAAAGCGCGACTGCGTGGAGCGCGAGAGCTTGAGTGCACGAGAGAGCGCGAATGCGCGAGTGCGTGAGAGCGCGACTACGCGAGAGCGCGATAGCGAAAGTGCGCGACTGCGCGAGTGCGCGAGTGCGCGACATCGCGAGTGCATAATAGCGCGAGTGCGCGACGGCGCGAGCGCGCAAGTGCGCGACTAAGCGACTGTGCGACTGCGAGAGTGCGGGACTGCGCGAGTGCGCGATTGCGCGAGAGCGCTACTGCACGGAGCGCAAGAGCTCGAGTGCACGAGAGCGCGAGTGCGCGACTGCGCGAGTGCACGCGAGTGCGCGGCTGCACAAGCACGAGAGCGCGAGTGCACGAGAGCGCGAGAGCGCGAGTGCGCTTGTGCGCGAGTGCGCGAGAGTGTGAGTGAACGAAAGCGGGAGCGCGAGTGCGCTAGTGCGCGAGTGAACGAGAGCGGGAGCGCGAGTGCGCTAGTGCGCGAGTGTGGGACAGTGCGAGAGCGCGAGCGCGCAAGTGCGAGTGCGCGAGAGCGCGCACGGCGCAACAGTGCAACGGTATTGAGAAAGCTTGCTTTCTTTCTTATCAATTGGCATCGTTCTCATTACAAATGGGTTATTACAACATTTGCATCAATGTTGAACACAAGCTAGTACATACTTATAACACTAGCTAAGATGTACCCTATCTAAGTGGCATTAGCAAGGCAGTTAACTCTGGGGTGGGTGGTGGTGTCAGAATGAAGAATGGATGATGCATTGATGTTGGTTGGGGTACATATAGCTAACCCTAAGTTTTGTACCCCCTAAGACAAACCTCACTATAGGCTACAACATTTGACACACCCCCATAGCCTAAGTGAGGGGTGTCTAGCAGAACCAAACGAGTACGGTCACAAGACCAGTCCAAGAAACGAAGCTCAGGGTGGATCACAACGTCACCACACAGTCTGAGCACAAACAACAGTGGCCACAAGGCCAGTCCAAGAAGTAACAGAGATATATAGAAAGCAAAGTAAACAGTACACTCAAGTCTAAGCAACACGAGAACCAGTGTCAACAAGGCCTAACTGCACACAGCACCTCTGGTGGTCACAAGGCGGAAGCGCCTTGGTGAAGATGTCTGCAGTGTTGGCCTCGGACTCCACAAACTCAAAGCGAGCCTGTCCACGCCTCTGCAACTCTCGCAGAAGAAAGTACCTGACGTGAATGTGCTTCACTCTGCTCTCCAGTCGTGGCTCTCGACAAAGGAGAATAGACGCCTTGTTGTCAGTGAACAAGGTCGGTGCAGAGCTCGGCCGCTCACCAAGGTCGGTGAGCAAGAAGGTCAACCAACGCAGCTCCTGTGCCGCCATGGCACCAGCGTAGATCTCAGCCTCAGCTGTAGAGGTCGAGACCGAAGAGGAGCGCGTGGACCGCCAGGAAACAGCTCCAGAACCCAGGCTGAAACAGTACCCCTGAGTAGACCTGTGAGTCTCAGCGTCGTCAGCGTAAGAGGAGTCACAGTGACCAGTAAGTACAACAGACTGCTGCCCTCCAAGAACTAGCCCCACGCCTGATGTCGTCGCTAGGTACTTCGCCACCCTCACAGCAGCGGTCCAGTGAACAGGACGGTGTCTCCCTGGCGCAACAAAGCGCGCAAGAACGCTGAGAGGGAAGGCGAGGTCCGGGCGAGTACAAGTCATCAGGTACATGAGGCAACCCACAAGCTCTGCGTAGGGACCACTAGGCTCGAACGGCTCGTCAGGAAAGGGTCCAGTGAGTCTGTGGTCAACAGCAAGAGGTGTGCGCTGTACTGTGGAGTGCTGAAGCCCGAACCGCTAAAGGACCTGCTGCACCATGTGTGACTGTGAAAGTGTAATGGTGCGAGCAGCTCTGTCCCTGGTGATCTGCAGGCCAAGGTAGTGGCGCAGCTCACCAAGATCAGTGCAGGTGTGTCTCTTCTGCAGTTCGGACTTCACGTGTGCCAAAGCAACCCTGTCAGGGGTGGCGAAAACAAGGTCGTCAACGTAGACCAGAACAAAGAAAGGTGTGGGGCCACGACGAACGAACAGCGACGGGTCAGCAGAAGACGGCTGGAACCCAAGGTCAGACAGGGTAGAACGCAGGGTGTCGTGCCACTCACGAGGAGCCTGACGAAGACCGTAAACCGGTCGCCTCAGCCTCCACTGGGTCCCAGGAGGGAAAGAGCCAGTGAAGGCAGAGGGACGACGCAACCAGACCTCCTCGTGAAGACTGCCCTGAAGGAAAGCAGTAGAGAAGTCGAGAGAGTGTAACTCGTAGTCTCTCTGTGCTGCTACGTGTAGTAACACCCGAAGAGTGGTCATCTTCGGGGTGGGCGCGAAGGTCTGAAAGAAGTCAACTCCCTCGCGCTGACTGAAACCTCTAGCCACGTAGCGCGCCTTGAAGACCGGAGGAGATCCCGGCGGCCGCTTCACCCTGTAGATCCACATGCCGTCGACTACGTTCGCCCCCGGAGGGGGAACCTCATCGACGTAGGTGCCTGTGGATCTGTAGGAGGCCATCTCTGCGTCCATGGCAGCTCTCCACTGAGAGGCCCAAGGCCCTGACACTGCCTCAGCGTAAGTGCGAGGAGTCGGAATGTCAAGGGCGTCGGGGTCACCCTCAGGGGCGAGGAGCATGGCACAGAGATGAGGGGAAGCGGCCGCCAGGAACTCTAGCTCAAACTGCCTGTCCTCTAGGGCGTCACAGCCAAGGGCAGACACACCCCCGACGGCCAGAGGACTGGAAGGAGGAGCAGCCACAAGAGCGGTGGCGAAGTCAAGGCGGCGGGTAGAGGCAAACTCAGTGACTGCGGCAGTAAGAGCGGACACAGAGGACACAGAGGCACGAGGGTGGGTAACAAGAGAGGCGAGAACACGAGAGAGAACAGGACGGTATGTGCGGTAGTAGTCAGTGACAGGAGAAGGAAGCGACACAGTGAGGGCCGACTCAGGAGGAGACGGAAGCACAGACGGAGACGGACGAGGTGGACGAGAACAAAGGAAGGCTGTACGAAGGTCAGTGAAGGGAACAGGAGACGAGGGACGAGCACGAGGGGAGCGACGAGAGGCCCAAGTCTGAGAAGGAGGAGGAGACAACGAAGACTGAGAACGAGGGAAAACAGCGGGAGAGGGGTCAGGAGGAGGAAGCGGAGGACC